TTTTTTTCACATTCTGTCTCTCACAGTTGAAGTGTACCTCTGGTGCAAATTACTGACCTCTGTCATCATTTTAGGTGGGGGAACTTGCACAATTGGTGGCTGACTAAATACTTTTTTGCCCCACTGTATATGTATGTGTGTATATACATACATATATATATATGTGTGTGTGTGTGTGTGTATGTGTAATTGCAGTCTTTCATTTCACATTTAACCAGTCTGTTGCTGTGGGTACACTCTGTGACAACGTCGAGGTTGACCCTGAAAATGGTGACCTTTGGTTAGGCTGTCACCCTAATGCATGGAAGGCTCTCATGTTTGACCCCAAAGACCCACCAGGATCAGAGGTCTGGTGTTTCTTCTTATTTGTGTTTCTTTTCTCACTCTATAACAGCACATGCACCCATTTGTAGAGATTGATCTGATTATGTTTAACATCTTATGATTTTGTATGTTTGCAGATCATCCGTATCCAGAATGTTCATTCTGATCAGCCTGTGGTTACACAGGTGTATGCAGACAATGGACATGTGATCATGGGCTCTTCGGTAGCCGCTTCGTATGGAGGGAAGTTGCTCATTGGCTCTGTGTTCCACAAAGCCTTGTGCTGTGATTTACAGTAGACAATGAAAGCAAACACTGCCACTCACTTTAACACATGAGAGGGGAAAAAAAATCTCAATTCAGGTGTTTAAAAGGACAAAAAAAAGGGAAAACAAATATTTGTATCTGTTCTCAACTGGGACAGTTTATACTGCACTGCGTTCAGCCTACAAAAGTGGTATTAGACACAGAAATGACTGAACTATCAAGATATTTGCTTCACTGTTAAATAATTGGAACAATTATGAAAATAATGTTTTTAATTTGATAATTTGTGACTGTCTGTATTTGGCTTTAAATAAAAGGTGAAATGTGAACTTTAATAAATAGATTTGTTGTGGTTCCACAATGAAGTTGTCCACTGTGTCCCCAGTAAGTAAATGCACATTTGTCAACATGGGTGGGGGGGGATGTTATTTGATCCATCACCCTTTTCACAATCATCCTCACCCATGAGGCAAGATCTGGCTTGGAGCTCCAGAGCGAGGGCGATTGATGGTCATTTTATATTTCTTCCATCTACAAATAACAACACCAACACTTGTCACCTTCTTGCTGATTGGATGGAATTAAAGAAATTGATTCTGTGGACAGGTGTGCTTTTTGTGATTGATTGCTTGAGTGAGTGTTTGTGCCATATGGGCGTGCAACCGTTCAGTGGGAGCCAGAATTCTTCCTGGGTTTTAGGGGATCATATACGTTTTTCACTCAATGACGTGCAGGTCAGTTTTAAAGTTGTATGTAGTGTGGGGTTTTTTAGTTTTGGGGGGGGGGGCATAGACTGTTTATGCCTTTGTAAGTGACAGAACTTAGGAATTCAGCAGGGAATCACATAACTGTTTCTCCCACTGTATACACACTGCCCCAAAAATAAAGAAAGAGATAAAGGAACACCTTTTAATTAGATTATAGCATCACATCGCTTCTGGGATATTGATTAGGTCTTGTTAATGAGATTAAGAACAGGTGCACTAGATGGACAACAGTAACTAAACTTCATGAGGGTGGCCTGAGGGCCCGACGTACTCTAGGGGAGGGGGGATCCCTCAGGACACCATCCATCATCTCATTAGCAGGATGTCCCAACATTGTCTATACTGATATAGATTTCACAAAGTTGTCCTTAGGCTTCTCGGTTATTCTCTCAGAAAGTTAATGAACATGATTGGTATTCTGAGTACTGCATTTCATAAATTGTGCCTGTGTGTTGATATTGTATTATACTTTAATTTGTCCACACATAATATATTGTAATAGTGTTTGGGGTGCTGTGTCTTCATAAAATTATATTAATTCAAAAGACATTTTTGCAGATAATGAATTTTTCAAATAGACTTTCCTCTTTTTGTAAAATACTAAATCTTGACAACATTTAATGTGAATAAATATTGCATATCTCTTTTTATGTATAAGTATGTATATTTAATTGGTGATTTACTAGTTGTTTTGCAACATTTCTTTTATGTCTTTTTCAGATGTACATACTTACTAAACAAGACACCATGGTGATTTTTATTTACCCTTATGCAGAAAGCAAAATACACATCAATATTGAGAACCTCTTTATTGGAACAAACTATCACCAGTTCTTCAGTTCACAACTGCATTTTATTCTTTCAAAAACAATTAAAAACTATGTTTATTTCTAATAGCACAAATATATATTTATTATATTTGTAAATGATTGTATGTAACTTGTCTGTTCCAGCTGCTTACCTGTTCATGTTATAGGGAAGGTGGTTGTTCTTATTCTTAAACTGTACATTATTGTTGTTGTTGATTCTTTTTGTGTGCAAATAAAACGAAACAGAAAAAAAAATACACCATGATTTTTTTCCAACTGAGATTTGATGGTAGCAGTGCACACGTACGTGCGGTGTGTTCGGATACAGTGTAGCTTTTAAGTTGTGCTGCATAAATAATCCATTATTCATATACCGTGTGTAGCTATGCATTTATATTCACTAAACTTTGTTTCTTTCTTTGGGCAAATATTTTATGTTATAAATATCCTAAAATTAATGCTACCTTGACTTGTTACAAGCAACAACAACAAAAAAGATCCATGTTTTCTTTTCTTTCTTTCTTTTTTTTTTTTAAGTCTTAGCAGCTGTTTCTAATTTTAACAGATCAAACTAATTTTAGCACTCTGTCTCCATCTTTGGGGCAGTTGTGTTAATGCACATTGAAAATCATGGCACTTCCATAGGTAACCCCTGACACTTATAAACATGGCTGCCATGAAGAAAGTACTACTTGCTGTTGCTGTTGCTGCCTTTGCAGTTTTCAGTGGACACAGGTTCCTTAAACTGAAGTAAGTTCTGTTCCGACAAGAAAATCTGACGTCATATGTCGCATTAAATTTGGGGATTGGCAGCACAGATTGTAAATGTTCACAGCTGTTGTTTGCTAAAGCACGTTGAAGTGTGGCCAATGTTTTCATGGAAAGACTTAACAAATGTATCCTTGGGCTTCTCAAGCAGACTTTCAAACTGTAGTACTGATTTGTACTGCTTCTTTGTAATGGCTCTGTAAACTTCTTCCGCAGGGAAATCATGCTTGCTTCCAGAGAGATTCCAGTGAAACACCTCAGCTGTCATTATTTGCAGAATATTGGTATGTAATCTTTGTATTCATGCTCATATCTTCGTTCTGGGGTTTGCATCGTGAAAAATCACGTTTAAACTGCGTTTAACATGTGGCATTAGCTGAAGGGTCTGAAGTTCACACAACTGTCTGTAGAGCATGCGTCACCAAGGCATGACATAAGACTGTGCTCTCTGTAAGGACTGAGAATGGGGAAAAATATTTATTGATTTGTTTGTACAGAATATGGGGCAGAGGATATCACAATACTGAAAGATGGACTGGCCTTCATGAGTACGGTATGTTATTAATTTCATGGGCAATTGTTTGTGTGATGACCTCTTGAGCAAAGCCCCACATTTAGAAAAGTTTCTAACATGTAGTGTTTACGGCTCAGGGGTTGAAGTTTCCTGGATTACATTCGTTTTCTGATGAACCAGGGAAAATGTATGTTTTGGATCTGCTGCACCCGAAACCCACTCCAGTGGAGCTGCAAATCAGCGGAGAACTGGACCTCAGCTCGTTCAACCCACATGGCATTAGTGCATACACTGATGAAGCAGGTGACGTACAGACCCGATAGAGGATGGATGAAATAATGGCATCAAATTTGTTATTATTTTAAATAACAGAAATATATTCAGGTCATTTTTTTCATTGTACCCTTATGCACGCATGCATAGGTTTGTAAAGTTAGAAGGCCTGATATGTTGTTTTAGTTTGCTTTTTTGCACACCCACGTGCTACACACAGTACTTGTATTTACATAAGGCAGATATACAATGTAACACAGCTTTTAACTGCAGCTAATTTTGTGTAATATTGTTGTTTCTCTGGAAAGTCTGTGAGCCATGTTGTTTGTCGTCATTTTTTTTTTGGGGGGGGGGGTTATTTTTTGGTATGCCAGTAATTCTGGACTAAATGACATGAATGGGTCTTTGAGTGGTGACTGTGCATTCTGTCATAGTACATTTAGGGCAGTATACCTTACACTGTTACTGTGACTTATAAATGAACTAAAGTCGTCTTGGTTAAGTCTCTACAAGCTTTGCACATGTAGGTTTTGGAAATGTATCTAATTTTCCAAATGGATCTTCCCAGACTTGTTCAGGAACACGTCTGAAGCTCCTCTAGTATTGTCTTGGCTGTAGTCTTTGGTTCTTCATGCTGAAGGTTCTCCATGGCCATAGGCTTAAGACTTTTGTACCTTCATCCAAGTTTTCTTCAAGGACTTGCCCCTTGCTTCTGAACAACACCCCCTATAGCATGATACTGCTAATATCTTTCACTGGTATTAGCTTGGTGATGTTCACCGTAGTGTCTAGTATAAATTTTGGATTCATCTGGCTAGTGATTATGTGTTGCATATCCATCTGCTTTATGAAACATCCTATTGTGTGGACCAGTCTTTTCTGGAATATTGTCTAAAATGAGCAGAATACTTTGTATCAACAGTGTGAGATGCCAAAGGTTAAAGGCCAGTGACAGTGAAATGCATAAAGAAATTTGGGGCCTTATGTTTACAGCTATATTATTAATAATTTTAATTAATGTAATGATGCAAATATGATCAGTATTTTCGTTGCCTTTATTCATTTTACTTGATAACAGGTTTTGGATAAACGAATAAGAGGAGGCAGTTACATTACAGTGTCTTTGACACATATCTGAGATTTTCCTATATGTGCCAAAAACATCTCTGTGTAGTAAAAGTGAGTTTTGTGAGGCTTTGATATTTTGTCTGCATTTAGTTTGTCCCCTTACTTAAGCATAAGTTCCTGTTGGGTCAGGCTATAAAAAAAGTAAATTGCTCCTTACTGCTTTAGGGAAGGAAAGAAGGTGACAATTTACTATGAGTCTGCAGCCTAAATTGGTGTATGTGCGTGTCTGCCTTTTCTTTTTTTTTTTTTCTTTTTTTAAATAAGCTATTTTAGTTGTTGTTTATTTCCCTGAGCACAAACATGACTGAAACACTAAGGGAAACCTACATTTCCTCCACACAGCAGGGTTGACAAGACTTTTCTTCTTCTCTGCAGATGACTCTGTGTACCTGTTTGTGGTCAATCACCCTCATCACAACAGCCAAGTAGAGATCTTTCGTTATGTTGAGGAAGACACACTCGTGCACATAAAAACCATCACCCACCCCTTACTCCACAGGTATGAACTGTATGAGAAACCTTTTAATGCCTTATTTATTGGGGTGGCTGTGGCTCATCCCATCATGTCCAGCCTGTGTGCCAAATGTCCTTGGGCATGATACTAACCCCAAGCTGCTCTCCGATGCATCCATCAGAGCATGAATGTATGCAAATGTTAGATAAAAGCATAGGGAAAAAAAGTGCTTGTGTGACTGAGGCACGTTTTATAAAAACACTTTGAGTGCTTGTTAGAGCAGAAAAGCATTATATAAGAACCAGTCCACATTTTACATTTAACAACACGTCTGCATCCATTTTTTCCCCCCCCATGTTCTTCAGTGTGAATGACATTGTTGCAGTCGGAGTGGAGAGCTTCTACGCCACAAATGACCGCTACTTTCACAGTGATGCACTTCTGCTTATTACTGTCTTTTTGGACTTAACCTGGTGTGACGTGGTGTTCTACAGTCCACACGAAGTGAGGGTGGTGGCCGATGGTCTGCGGTCCCCAAACGGCATAAACATATCTCCTGACAAAAGGTTAATCTCAGTTCGTTACACCAATCAGTGATCATGTATGTGTTGATTGAGTTAAATGTCTGTTTTATTTCAGACAGAAATACAACAGAAATAACAGAATACATTGTAAATTAAGTGAAGACATCGAATTGTCATCCACATCTCGATATAAAACACAATTTAGATGCTTGAAAAGGAGTGGGATGAGATTTACAGTTTGTTATTGTAACATGATTTATTTTTTTTTAAACACAGGTACATATACGTTTCGGATATTATGGATCATGACATAGATGTTTTTGAAAGGCAAGAAGGGGAACAATTGAGGTACATCAAGGTAATAGTGTTTTGTATTCTAAAGTCAGAAAAAACAAAACAACAACCCAAAACTCTCATATCTGCGTGCTAAATGTGAAGCTAAGCCCAGCCTAGTGTTGCAGTTTTTACCCCTCAGCCGTGAGAGGTTGAGGGGGTATTGTCATCACCCCGTCCTGTGGGCAGAGTGGATGCCCAAGTGGAGAATGAGGTGACGTACGATACCTTAGGTGAATCTAGTAAAAACGAGTTTAAATCTCAATGACCTCGAGGTCAAAGATTAACTTTCCTGTAGCCTAGAATTTTAAAAATGTATACCATAGGTACATCTGCTAGTAGGCTGAGGGGTATCAGTGACAGCTGCCTGTACATTTTTCATAATACTGTAGCTTCATATTTAACATGTAGACATAAAAGTAGCACTAATCGTTTGAATTCTGCTGAATAAGAAAGAAGTTCTGTTGCAAGGAAAAAGAAAAGAAGGTTGGATTGTTGCTTTAACGTCATACACAAGGACAGAATAATCAGGTTTCATTTACAGCATGTAAACAACATGTGATGCTTTCAGTCTGTAGCTGTTGGATCACTTTGTGACAACATCGAGGTGGACCACAAGACAGGTGACGTATGGCTGGGTTGTCACCCAAATGCCATGAAGTTGTCAAGCTATGATCCTGAAGATCCACCTGGCTCTGAGGTTAGTTTGTTTAAAAATAAAATAAAAACATTGCAGCTAGATTTTTACCTATTCATTTTATGAATGTGTCCTTCAGGTGCTCCGGATCAAGAATATTCACTCAAAGCAGCCAGTGGTGAGCATGGAGTACGCGGATGATGGCCATGTCCTTATGGGCTCCAGTGTAGCAGCTCCTTATGAGGGAAAGTTGCTTATTGGCTCCGTTTTCCACAAAGCCTTATACTGTCTTCTAAAATAATGCCGTTGATCACTGTTGCTTAATGAATACAAATGTTGTAAAGGGATGAAAGAATAAAAAAAAAAAAAATTAAACATGTTTTTTGCCATTTATAAAAAAATAGTGACCTTGTAAGACAGGAAACCATTCGACTGTCAGCTTTTGTTCCTGTAGATGCCATATGCAGTGTCATTTCCACATTTTGTTCTCTCGGTACATTAAAGCAGCATACGCCTTTGGACAATTCTTTTACCCTTTCTCATCGTTTCCCAACAGCAATTCTTCTTCAGCCACCTTGGAAATCCTAAACCTAGTCTCCCCCCCATCAGGATGCTCTACAGTTTCCTCTTCTATTTTGGCAGGTCCACTGAGGGCAATATCACAATCTTCTGAGTCAGCAGCACAGCTGTCCTTTTGTTCCTCGTCAGTTTCCACACGCACTTCAGGGTCCCCCATGCTTTCTTGCAATAACGGGAGCATCTCGTCTTTTATGTCATTGTCCCCCTCGGCCTTTGCATTGAGGAATACTTCGCTGATACTGATCATACGTCTGCGCCTTGGAGAGTGCTCCAAGTTGTGGATAGAGGTGCCGTGGAGGTCACTGCAGCTCTTTGAGCGATTCATTTTGTCTGCTGGCGCTGGTTTGTGTCTTCTCATTCCAATCTCTTTTATGACAGTATTGTAGTCTTCCTCCTTTTCAGATAAGAAGCCAAAGATGTCAACAACGTTGGGCTTTACATTCCCATGTGGCTTGTCCTCTAAAGGCACTAGCTCCTCATGATAGAAGTTTCTGTGCCTGCGTTTTTGCCATTTTTTCTTTAGTACTTTGGAAGCGTCAACTACCATGTGGACATTCCAGCTGAAGAACAGGGACAGCCAAGCTAGGCCCATGCAAATCCATAATTCTTTACCTACTATGTAGAGGCGGGGGTAGTTTATGTCTGGATTTACGCCTAAAATGAGAGTTATGGGCTGAAATTACTAGGATATCCTCAATTCAGAAATTCAAATTGTGCCAAATGTAAAAACCTACCTGCCACATAATCTCCAAAGCCAACTGTTGTGAGTGTGATGAAAGAGAAGTAGAAACCTTCTAAGTAGGTCCATTGTTCCATGGACATGAAAACAAACGGCGGAATCACCAGATGCACCAACAGCCCCCATAGAAGGAACAAGGCTATACAGGTATACTGGACTTTTTTCTGAAAAAAGAGGAAAAAAAAATATTATTTGACATTGAAACTTCATAATTTCAGATAAACACTAATTGTTAGTCAGACCTTACCACTGATATGCCTTTGTCTATCATCACCCCAGACAGACGCTTGGCCCGGTCTCCAAAGAATGAACCCAGCTCACTTATCCATACCAGACACAGAGGGATCCCACACAGACCATAAAGGATGCAGAAAATACGTCCACCTTTTGTCCTGGGGGCAATATTACCATAACCTGTAGATACAGTGAGAAAATATTCAATCACACCAGTCCATGATGTGATAAGTATTTTAGGAAGATTTTCCTCTTCTGTTTGTTCTATCAGGGTCATGGGGAGGGCTGAAGCCCATCCCAGCTACCACAGGGCGAGAGGCAGGGTACACCCAGGACACACTGCCAGTCTGTTGCAGGGCTAACACAGAAAAACAACCATGCAACCCTCATGAGCAAGCACTTGGCAACAGCGGAAAGGAAACACTCCCTTTTAACAGGAAGAGCCTTCAGCAGAACCAGGTTCAGGGAGGAGCAGCCAACTGCTGTGACCGGTTGGGGGTGAAGGGAGGAAAATAGGACAAAAGAAACACTTTGGAAGAGAAGCACAGATCAATAAAAGCTAATGATTAAATCCAGGGTGGTGTATAAACACACAGTGAGTTAAAAGAAAAAAAGTGACTGAAGAAAAAAAATACCCTCAGTGTATCATGGGATGCCCCAAGCAGCCAAGCCCTGTTGCTGCATAGCTAAGGGAGTATTCATGGTCACCTGATCCAGCCTTATGATAAGCTTAAAAGGAAAAAAAAACAACTTTCCTTTTTGATAAAGTGTAATCTAAGTGTAGGAAAAGTAGGGAGGGTGTCTGTCTCTCTGCTGCTTTATATATGGAAAACAAAGTCCTAGAAGACTCTTGAACTAAAAAACAATGAGGATTAGGATTTACCGTCTCAGTTATGCTCTGGTTTCTCTTTATAACGCTCTTTATTGGACATTTTGCAGGAAAACTCCAGTGCACAAACATTTCAGATCCAAATCACGATAATTTCCCAACTTTTGGGACAAAGCATTTCCTGTTCTGAAACAGTCACAGCATCAGAGTATAGCTTCATCCCTGTAGTAACTGTTGTGAAGCTTATAATGTGTCTTATAAACAAACAATCACAATTAGGCCCAGAGAAATGCAGCTTTTAGTGAAGAGGCATCGTGTTACATGAATATTATCCCAGCCTATCCAGCTTCGAATATGAGAAGCGGGGTACACCCTGGACACATCGCCTGCCTGTGGCAGGGCCAGACATGTTGTTAAAGCAAGTCGATTGGGCGTTCCTGAGTCAACCCTATTGCCAAAGAAATGGCAGCAACCAGAAGAAGAAGAAGAAGAAGAAGTGGATGCTATTACAACATGAACATGAAGTGTGTCAACTTCTGAGTCTTTCATACCTATAGTGGTGACAATGGAGGCAGCGAAGATGGCAGAACTCCCCCAGTCCCACGGACTGCGATCCTTGTCCCCGGAGATCGCCACGCCTTGCCCGGCAGCCTCTGATACTACCTTTAGAAAGTTAACACAATCAATCAGTCCCAGAAAAAAAACAAATCTAATACTTCTGCTACTACTTTACTTCTTTATTTGTAACCGAATAACTGGAAATATTTACAACTCCTTATTCTTCTCAAAGTCTTAACTAAAGGCTCAGGCTACCGACGGGCACGCGTTGTGCCAGCCTTTATGTTTTTGTTCTGTCCTTGATGTTGCATGCCTGCTCCACACGCAGCGCACACATCAGTGTTTTGTTTGAAGTTTCACAACTTTTCTGTGCTGTTAAATAAGAGGATTTTCACTTCCCCCGCTCCCTCTGAGAATGTTTAGCTTGATAGTTACTCTTTACACGTTTGCATTTCTGTTCAAAATCACGTAAAACTGGTTTGATACATCCGGACATGTGGCGGCAACGACATTTTCCTTTCCTTTCTAATGTCCACGCTGGAATGTAAGATAAGCAATACAGTATGTAACGAAATGAAGCCTCTGTAAACAAAAGCTTGACTTGTTACCTTTACATAGAGATGGGTTCATCATACCTTCAGTATCTCAGTCAGATTCTCTTTAGTCAAGTTAAATTTCTTCAGAATGTCTTCCTTTTCTTTGACATAGAGGTCTCTGGCTGATTTCCAGTTTTCTTCTTCAAAAATTTGGAATATCGCGCCTCCAATCGACAGATAAAAAATTATACACGAAGTTAAAAGCGGACCTTTATCAGCCATATTAAAGTCATAACTTCAGTCCGAGCACGCTGACTAAGTCACATTCCCGCAGAGGGCTGTCCTAATCCCACCTGGCCTCTTCCTGGTTAACATAATGGGTTCACAGCTGAGATGGAATTAAACTCAGAACAAATAAAAAACAAAACATATACATGTAAAAATATATGTATGTGTCTTCTAATTAGATCAAGTATAGAAAGTCTTAAAAAAACAAAACAACAACTTAAAAAACCCAAAACAATCGGTCCTGAGTTACTTCTGTTTATAACAAGAAGCACTACGACAGTACACACCTCCGCCGCTCACTCTATGGGCAGGATCAACTTTTAAGGGAATAGTACTGTTTTGTTTCTTGTTGCATGCATTCATTTTGTTTTCTCTGTTCTTTTTAAACGCACTTAAATGTACTTGACATAATTTTGAGTGTAATTAGTTTTTTATGCGAATATAGTACATGTGCATAGTGCGTCTGATTGTGTAGTGATTTTTTTTAGATGTTTAGTAAATATAAAATGAAAAAAGTTTTTGATCACAAATTTATTAGGGGTTGGTCATAATCAGTTAATGTGATATTATAGGTTACGTTCTGTATAATGATAACACACACACCACTTTAATAAGAATCATAGCTTCTAAGCTGTTAGGCTTTCTTAAAAAATATGTTTATTTTTGTTGCTTTCTCTTTATTTTTTGACCAATAGATCTTTAAGTTGATCTTGTAGACCTTGCTGAGTGTACGTCAAATTTTAATAGATTGTTAAATTGACCTCCCTCTTTATCACTACAAGGTTTTTCTTTCATTTTTTAAAATCAGAATTAATTCAAAACATATCGAGCTATGGTGTTGACAGATTGAACGACACGCGCGCAAATAATACCAAAATCATAACCTTTTTGTGGGGGAAGTAATAGCTAAAGTGGAGAACTAAAACAAAATTATATCTAACCACTTGCGCTTTAATGAAAACGTTCAGCAGGGGGCAACGTGACTTCATTAACGCCGTTCCACAGTGTGTTTAGGGAAACGGTCGCTCTTATCTTGTGCAGGAGTTAAATGTTTCCACACTGGGCGGATCCTGGCTGCTTTGTGTGATAATAAGGGTTGAAATATTTGCATTTGAAAACTAAATAGAATTTCAAGTTTCCTTAAATTTATAGATTACAAAAATCGAATCTGAATTCAAGCTTCTTTTTTAATGTTTAAAGTCGTTTGAAGTGAATGTTCCACTCCACATCACTGGAGTAAATCTATAAGGCCGGGTATGTTATAATATCCTGCTGGGACAGAGCCAGCATAGACCTCTGGGCTTTAGGTAACGCGGCGACAGATGCTCCAGCTGCATCAGCTGTTAGATTGAGGTCTATTGCACCTTTTGGGATTTCACTCTGCATTTTAAAGAAGACATCCCAGGTCATCAAAGGGCGCTGTCTATTTGTGAGGGCTGATTTAGTACTCTGTGCATTCACTTACTCTAGAGGACCAATGCAAACCCATGACAGGCCGTGACAAGAGGGAGCCATCTATTTATTTATTTGTGTATTTTTTAGAGGACACACGATAACACATGAGATCAGAGGGACAAATCATGCAGTAACACGACTTTTATTAACTCCTGATACATATAAAGAAACACGTCTCAGTAAATATAAAAGTTCCTTGGTGACTGTAAATACCACCATTACCTGCACTTTCACACATGCATGCACAACAGCGCCTCTGTGTGGAGTCAGCTGTAAAATAAAAACAAAACACACACAGACACAAATAGCTCTAGTGACTTATGATATCACATTGAAAGTTTCCAACAGTTTACTAGGAGAAGCTGTTCAGGTACTCAGGCCCTAAAGTTGTCATATAGTTGGCAGAGCAGCCCCGAGTCAGTCCCCTCAGCAGTGCCGCTTACACTCATCTGTAAAGACAGGCTCAAACAAAAATGTCTTTGCGTGTGAGAAAAAAGATCTTTGCTTTACAGACTGTGTGAGAACTAAATAAGAACCCCATGAGGATTTTGAGCAAAGCTCCCACCTCTGATCTCCACCCATCACCAGTACTTAGTGCCTCGTCATTGTGGCTGCGTCACCGCCTCCCTGTGGAAACCCCATCGATACTTGCCAACTAGTCTTGAAGGTAAACACCGGAATTATGGCAGCAAGCTGAAGGTGGAGAAGACGCACAGAGGAGACTGCTACGTGTTCAGGTATGACCCGCAGTCTTAGACACTACTTGTGTTTAGGTTGCACACCTTTTTTTCACCTGCAGGAGCTTTTCGCGGCGTGTTTTCTTCACGGCGGTGGTTCGTGAAGAGTTCACTGCAACGCATTTAGAAGGATTATGCGAGGTCAGGAGTATTTGTGGTAAGAAAAACAAAAAGATAAGTAGAACTGCTGACCTACTGCAGTAATATGACTTCATAACAAGAAAGAAAAATGCCCACAAATGAATGCAGAGGTGTGTCGTTAGGCTGCTCCCAGTACCTCAAAGCTCCCGGGCCCTAAATACTTTACATACTTAGCATAATAGGAAGAATGCAGGTAGCAGCAGTGGTGTAGTAACTGTGTAAAAACTCAACGCCTGTTTGTTAATGTGGAGAAAAAGAAGCCGAGAAAGAAAACATTTGGTGATGTAATTACTTTGAGCGGACAGCTGATAAGTCCCCTATTACCAGGCCCATTCCCCTTCCTTTCATGTGCTTCAAATGATGCTAGCACTGCATGCTACTTCTTAACAGGCAGTGCCATTTATTAATATCATGTTTAATATTATTGTCTACCTCAGCTTTTAACTAAATCCTTAAAATCTGTACTGTTTAAACAGAAAAGTGTTTTTTTTATTGATGCACTTTTGTCCCCCTCTCCCTCTTTCTGTCTTGACCTGGTCACTCCATCTGCGACTGCGCATGCATTATGAAATGACCTTCTACGTGGATATAATGTGAGTATTATCCCATTTAATTTGAATGAAAGGCATTCGTGCTGTGCTTTGTGAGTGCTCTGCTGAAGCCCTACAATGATTTTTTTTTTACCCTGTCATGTGCACCAGTGATGTCCTCCTAATGCACCTGAATGCAATTCATAGTTAATGCAGAGTGTTTGTATAATTAAATAGCTGCACAGATGCTTTTCACTTATATTGAGGAAGCATTTCCCTAAAGACGTAGCTCATCAAGATTTAGAGAGATGATTAAATATTCATTTATTCATTATTTCTATTTTAAACCATTCACTTTGGGTTCAGACTTCAGACTCTATCAGTATTTTTTGGGGTAGTGGATGTGAGAGAAGAGTCAGCTCTGACACTTTCTTTCTATCTGGGAAAAATAAAATTTGGGGGTTAAAAAAATGTTTTAGAATTGAGAAGATTGCTTTTCTTAAGGCTTTGATCTGAAAAGGCTATAGTGTACTTCCTGCCAAAAATTATGGCACATAGTTTTTGTTTTACTGCTGGTTACTCGAAGCCTAGTTAAATTTTGGGAGGAGTTGTTTAATGGTGTCACCCTGAGGTATCTGGACGCAAACAGGTCTTTATCTCTCATGAACACCCGCTCCCAGCATGCATTACACCTCTAGAATTGGCGGTGATCCTCTCTTACTCATCTGATATAATTTACGCTGAACTGCTTGAACTAGCTGATCTTCCGCCTCAGTGTCTTTTTTTGTTTTTGTTTTGTTTGTTACTAGACTCAAAATATGACTTACACATGGATAAAAGTGAATAATGGAAAGATGATTTTAGTGAAAGGTTTACTGAGGTTTATGATACAAAGATGAGACTGGTTTTACCATCACACTGGTTACTGAAATTAAAAGCTTCCATTCTGGGAGTTTACATGCAAAACTACATTGAAGTCAACCACCAGGTGGCAGTGCAAACTAACCCAACACACCTTTGTACAGTAGCTTCAGCAGATCACATCTATTCTTCGTTGGCTGAGAACACATTTTTGCCACAATTTGTTCAATGTTCCACCAGCCATTAAAATCAGATGACATCCAAACACATGTATGTAAGCATGTTGCTTCCAATCTGACTTCCTCAACAGTATCTTTATTAGAATTTTCTCTTTTTTTTTCTCCTTATGAAAGGAGATTGATTGTTATACTGCATTGATTAGCCGTACAACATGATTGAAGCAAAATAAAGAAGACATTTTTAACTCTTGTTTTTATAGTTAAGATTAAAATAAACAAGTAAATACATTCAAAGTGAAAATTGCACCACAGAGGGGCAGAAGGATAGAGCATCACTACAAAGTGGAGTGCAGAGCACAACAATCGTTTTACCTTCATTAATAATAAATTGATCATTTAAATTCACTCTCGTTCAGCTGTTTTCCTGCTCTGTACCTTTCATAGCGTAATTTATTGTCCTTAAAGTGCAAGAGAGTCAAATGTGTCCTAGTAGAATAAGAAGGGGCAACTTGTCCGTGGGAAGGAAAGGGCAGACGCATGGAACATTCCCGCTTCATAAATTCTTCATAACATAATGGTGCAAAATTAATATTGATGTACTCTTACCATCTATCACGCTAGTGCTTTTGAGAGCTCAGTTCCTGAGCTAAAAAACAACAGAGAAAACCTCCTGCAACTGTGCGTCTCTCAGATGCACTCAAACTTCACATTTTAAAGCATTTTTTTAAGCTGCACATATT